ATTTTGGGATGCTGTCCTTGTCCCCTCCTGTGCCACCAGAAGGGCTTTGGTGGCAGTGCCACCGCTGAGTCCTGCTGTGATTTCCCTCCCCCTCTAAATTAAGCAAAGGATTAATTGGCTAAATTTAATTTGCTAAATTTAAAGAGTTAAACCTGCAAATCCCAGCAGTAGGAGAACAATGCCCCAAGGGCAGGAATGCTGTGCCATGGCACCCCCGTGCCCTGCAGCTTCCTGAGGGAGGATGCAGCATTCCAGAGGGGAATGCAGCCCCATGGATCCCGTCCCTGCCCCACAAGGAGCTGCAGGTGAGTCCCCACCATGCCTAGTTTTAAATTAATTTCCATTAATTTGGTGTTTCAGGGGTGGGGTTTGGTTTGGTGCTGGAATCTCAGGGATGCACGGAGCTGGAAAACCTGGGGCAGGGCAGAATCCCAGTGCAATCCATGACCCCAAAGGCAGGGATTGGGCATCCCAGTGCAATCCATGGCCCCAAAGGCAGGGATTGGGCATCCCAGTGTAATCCATGACCCCAAAGGCAGGGATTGGGCATCCCAGTGCTCCTGATCCCAAAGGCAGGGATTGGGATTATGGGAGTGCACAGGGCCTGCAGGATGTTACTGGGATTTCTGAAGAGGAGACAACTTTTCTGTTTGGATAAGCTGTAGAATATTCCACTCTGCCAGAATATTGATCCCAGAATTATCAAATCAAATCCCAGAATGGTTTGGGTTGGAAAGGACCTTAAAGCTCATCCAGCTCCAGTCCCTTGGGTGGGAGCACCTTCCCCTATCCCAGCTGAACTCTGGCAGCTTTTCCTGCCCATGGAATGAACAAACCCCAGGAATGCTCACCGAGGGCTTGCAGCAGGAAAAGGGAACGTGCCCTGCTCTCAGTGCAGTCCTTCTCCTTTCAGGAAAGGGAAATTCTTTGTGGTCACAGGAAACTTCCCTTCCCTGCTTTATCCCAGGGATGTTTTGATCCCAGCATCATTTCCCTGTCAAATCCCAAATCCCACCTGGGCAGGGACAGCTCTCAGCTCTGTGTGGGACTCACTTCAAGGAAAAAAACCCAAACCCACTTTTAAAGGTGAAAACACAATTTGGGAGCTCTGGGTGGATATGAGGGTGTTGGGATAAAGACCCAGCTGGCAGAAATGTTCCCATATTTAGGGGTTTATGGTGTTTTAAGGGTGATTGAGACTTCCCTGCTTCCCTTCTTCTCTGACCCAAAAACTTCTGCAATTTAGCAGGAGAGAACACAAGAAACCCATTTTAGAATGGGGTTACAGCATTGCCAAAATAGAAAAATCGAATCAATTTAAAGCTTGTGATAATCAGCAAACTGCCTTTGAAACCAACACCGGGAAAAGAATAAAAATCTGATTTTTGTGATGTATTTCTGCCTCGGAATCAACCCTACAAGCCTTATTTGCATTAAACCTCCTTTGCACTGGATAAAAGAGCTGTGAACCAGATTCTTTCATCTCCAAGGGTTTGTGTTCACACCCTTGAAAATTCCCACAAATCCCAAGTTTTCCATGGTGTTGGAAAAGGGTTTGTGGAAGAGAGAAATGCCATTTGTGTTTGGAATAGCAAGAGCTGCCTCCTTCCTGTGCAGGTCGAGCAGAAATATGTTCCCTGGGTATAATTAGAAGTGGGGAGGGTTTACTATGAGGTTAAAAATTATTGGATCTGTCTGCAGTGGGGAAAAAGAAAAAGGAAACTTGGAAAAATCACATGTGTGATGTGTTAAACCTGGTAAGGAAACAAATGTGTCTGAGGACAGGGCAGCAGGGAGGGATGTGCAAGGACTGGCACCTTAAAGCATGAACTGAATGAAGGCTGAAGCAGCTTTATCCCACTAAAATGGGAAAATTGGGACTGGGAAGTGCCCGCCACTCGTTTCATGCCATTCCAGCTGCCACACTGGGAAATTCAGGGAGAGGGAAGCGCTCTTGTCCTCCACAGAACATCATCAGTGCACTCAGGGTGATGAAGGGAAGAAACTCCCCCAGTGAAGATCCCATAAATGAAACTGTCCCCAGCCTGGGAGCAGCGAGGCAGCTCCTCCTTTGCTCAGCAAAAACTCCCCTGTGAGGCTGGTGGTGACGTGAAACCGGCCCCAAATAAAGAACTGCACCACACAAACTGTGTCAAATGCCACCCCCTCCCAGCCCTGTGGTGGAACCTCTTCCCCGTGTAATTCATCTCCAGGATTTTGCTCCTTCCTGCCATTTGCTGGGATTATTTTTAAACCTGCACTTTGCAGTTGCTGGTTTTGTGGAGTCTCAGGCACCAGGCAGCCTGGGAGGGAAGCAGGGATCAGCTGGGAGCAGGGAGGGATTCAGCTGCTCCTGGGGGTCAGGAGGGAAAATTGGGATAATCCGGGCTGAGCACCTGGAGGAGACACCTCAAGGGAAAGGTTAATCCCAAATAAACCCTGTGATATTCCCTGTGTATCCCGGCCCCTTTATCCTCCAAAGCCCTGCCTGGGGGTTGGAGTCTCCTACAGAAAAACTGTAGGATTTGAAAGTCTCCTACAAAAAAAGAGAGGGATTTTAACCAGGGCAGAGCAGGGGGGAATGGCTTCCCACTGCCACAGGGATTTGGGAAGGAATTCCTCCCTTTGGGGAGGGCTGGGATGGAGCTCCCAGAGCAGCTGTGGCTGCCCTGGAATCCTGGCAGTGCCCAGGGCCAGGCTGGACAGGGCTGGGAGCACCTGGGACAGGGACGAGATGAGTTTGGAGCTCCTGTCCGTGAGTCTGTGACTCCCACCCTGCAGGGAGAGGAGGGGATGGCCCCAGGACGCTGAAAGCTCTCAGCCCCAGCCCTGCCCTGCTCCCGGTGTTTGTTCCATCTGATGTTGGTGGGGTTTGGTACTCCCAGGACTGCCGGGATGCCCCTACCCGCTCGCTGCTGCTGCCCAGGAGGGGATGAGGAGCCAGACCTGGCACAGGAGACCCCTCCCGTTCCTCCCTTTCCCTTCTTTTCTCTCCCCTCACCTCCCCCTGCCCAGCCAGGTCCCCCCCGAGGAGCAGCTCAGCAGTGCCAGGAGTTCAGGGCTGCAGATGTTCCCTTCTTCCTCTCACCCCTTTGGAACTGGAATTTGAATTCCAATTGAACAATTCAGGCTGTGGGGACCCTCGAAGGGGGATTCCCCCTGAGCTGTGCCCACTCCCCAGTGTCTGTGCCATGCCCACCTCTGGCATCACCTCCCACCCTGCACAATCTTTCATTTTAACTCCTCGTGGTGCTCTTGGGGTAGAGTTAATTTTCTCCCTGTGCAGGGACAGGCTGGAATTAATTTTGGATTTGTGTTGGAGGCAGAGTGGATAACTCAGAGATGTTTTGATTCTCGTGGGTGACCTCAAGGGTATTTCTCACACAAAATCCTGCCCCAAATCAGCTCCTAATGCAATGCAATGTTTCAATATTCCAATGAAGAGTTGCTGTTCTCCCCTGGCCCTCCATACCCAGAGGTTTGGGACTGCAGGGACAGAGGGCAGCTGGCTGCTGCCACATCTCCCAAGCCCTGTGTGGGTGTTCCTGATCCATGGGATTGGTGCTCCCCATTTCAGCCACAGTGCCATAAAAGGTCTCCTTGCTGTGGAGTTGGGAATGGGAACATTTGCGTGTTAAACTTGGCTTCGGTGACCCAGAATGCAGAAACTAGATTAGTTTTTTTTAGCAGAGTTATTTATAGGAGACTCTTAACGAGTTACTTTAAATTACTTTTAAAGAAGGAAAGCAAGGGAGAGGGTGGCAGCAGGGGTTGGTGGCAGGTCCCTGTGGTCCCTGGGGGCATGGGAGGGAGGGAGGATGTCACTCTTTGTCACTGCTGTGACTCCCTGCAGTCACCCACAGCCCCACAGAGAGACAATGCCACCTCCTCCCAAACCCCGTCACAAAATCATGGAATGCTTTGGGTTGGAAAGGACCTTAAATTCCACCCAGTGCCACCCCAGCCACGGCAGGGACACCTCCCAGTTCCCCAGGTGCTCCAGCCCCAGGGTCCAGCCTGGCCTTGGGCGCTGCCAGGGATGCAGGGGCAGCCCCAGCTGCTCTGGGAATCCCATCCCAGTCAGGAATTCCCAATTCCCAATCTCCCACCCATCCCTGCCCTGTGGCAGTGGGAGCCATTCCCTGTGTCCTGTCCCTCCATCCCTGTCCCCAGTCCCTCCCCAGCTCTCCTGGAGCCCCTGCAGGCCCTGCCAGGGCTCTGAGCTCTCCCTGGAGCTGCTCCTGTCCAGGTGAGCCCCCCCAGGTGTCCCAGCCTGGCTCCAGAGGGGCTCCAGCCCTGCAGCAGCTCCCTGCTCCCCTCTGGCCTCTCTCCAGCAGCTCCATATCCCGCTGGAGCCCCCAGATCTGGGGACAGCTCTGCAGGTGGGGTCTCACCTGAGCGGGGCAGAGGGGCAGAATCCCCCATCCCGTGCTGCCCACACTGGGATCAGCCCAGCACAGGGGGGGTTTGGGGCTGTGCCTGTGCCCGGGTCAGGCTGAGCTTCTCTTCCACCCCCATCCCCAAACCCCTTCCCTCCGGGCTGCTCTGATCCATTCTCTTACCAGCCTGGATTTATGCTTGGGATTGTCCCGACCCAACAACCGCGGGAACAAAGAGTAACATTTAAATAGAAATCCTTTTTTTGTGTAACAAAACCCCAGTTACAATAGCTACTACGACAACATTAGCTAATATCCTGGTTATAATTTAAAAAAAAAAAGAAAGCCAAACCAAGAACAATTGACCAGAACCGCAAGAGCGGGGGGTTTCTGCCCGTCGGAGCGGCGTTTCCCCGCCGCCAGCCGGCGTTTCCCGCAGCTCCCGAGCGGCGGAGCCGGAGCCCGGCCCCGCTCCGCCCCCGCCCGCTCCGCCCGGGGCCGCCCCGCGCCGGCGGCGGCTCCGGAGCGCGGGGGCGGCCCCGGGCCGGCGTTTCCCGTGCCCGGCGGGCAGCAGCGCTCCGGGCATCCCTGACGCGGCCGCGCTCCGCTTCTCTCCGGCAGGATTCCCGGGAGGATGGCATGGATTTAGGCAGCGACGCCGGCAGCAGCCGCTCCGGCTCGGAATCCAACTCCAGCAAAGCCACGCCGTGCTCGGAGGGCAAGTCCTCGCCGTCCCCCAGCAGCCTGGACCTGGCGGCGCTGGAGGACTCGGAGGAGGAGGAGGAAGAGGACGCGGGCTCGCCGCCGTCCCCGCCGCGCTGCCCGGCCGCCCATGGGCGCCGCTGCGGCCCCGCGGCCGCCGCTGCCCGGCGCTGCTGCCCCCGCCCGCGGCCCCCGCCCCGCTCGGACCCCGCGCAGCGGCGGCGCGGAGCGGCCGCGGGGCCCGGCGGGCGGCGGAGCGCGGGGCCGCGGCCCCCCCGGCACCCGCAGTGCCCCCGGGACCCGCAGCCCCCGGCCATGGACTGGGCAGCCCTGGAACGGCACCTGGCCGGGCTGCAGTGCCGGGAGCAGGAGCGCAAGGCGCGGGCCGGCCCCGCCTCGGTGAGTGCGGAGCGCTCGGGGCGCGGATGGAGGGTGGGGAGGGAATGTTGGGGATCCCGCCCGGAGGGATGCGCCGCGGCTGGGGGATCCTGCCGGAGGATGTGGAGCTGCTGCAGAGAGGCCGGAGGAGGCCATGGAGATGCTCCAGGGCTGGAGCCCCTCTGCTCTGGAGCCAGGCTGGCAGAGCTGGGAATGTTCACCTGGAGAGCTCAGAGCCCCTGGCAGGGCCTGAAGGGGCTGCAGGAGAGCTGGAGAGGGACTGGGGACAAGGCATGGAGGGACAGGACACAGGGAATGGCTTTAAGCTGCAGGATGGTGGATTTAGATTGGATTTGGGGAAGGAATCGTTCCCTATGAAGGTAGGGAGGCCCTGGCACAGGTTCCCAGAGCAGCTGGGGCTGACCCTGGATCCCTGGAAGTGCCCAAGGCCAGGTTGGACAGGGCTTGGATCCACCTGGGACAGTGGAAAGTGTTCATGTCCATAGCAGGGAATGGGATGAGCTTTAAGGTCCCTTCCATCCCAAACCATTCCACGATTCTCCAACTTTCCCAGAGCATCCTTGGGCACTGGTGGGTCTGGTTCCCTGCAGCTCCAGGCATGTGGCAGGGGCTGGTGTCCCCGGCAGGAGCCTGGTGCCACCACCAGGCTGTCTCAGAGCCGGGTCCCTTGGAGAGGCCGAGGAATATCAGCTTTTCCCAGCTGGGAGCGGTGCCAGGCTGGCGCTGGGTGCTCTCCTTTCCCGAGGGAAGGAGCTTCCCAAGGCCCTGCTGCCAACCACGATGAACCCCCGGGGCTGTTTCACAGAAACCCCACTAAATCAGGGCCCGATCCCGTCATTCAGGGTGCTTTGGGAATTGCACAGAACTTCTGAGCTGCAGGGATGTGAGAGCACTGCAGGCACCGGTGACACGGCAGGGCTGAGGCTCTTCCATAATGGATGAATTCCAAAGGAATCCACGGAACCTCTCTGGAAGCTCGGCAGGAACTGTGGATGCCTGAGGAGCTGTGTGCCTCCCCAGCCAGCCTGCCCCGTGGCCTTGCCTCTGGCACACACTGATTTTTTTCCATGATTTTTTTGTTATTTAAAAGGCGTTCCATGCCCTAACTTCCTGTGAAGTCACCTCGCTCGGGGAGGTGGGGATTTCCCCCTGAATCCTTGAATTACAACTAATTGGTGACAGATCTGGGTGGGTGCTGGGCAGGATGAGTAAGCTGAGGGATGAGTGGGACTGCTGCCATGCAGGAATGCTTTTCTCCAAAGCCTGAACACCGGAGCCTCAGTGCCTTGAGGAACTGACAGGTAACAGCTTTAATTACAGTCATTTGTGCAGCAACTCAGCCTGGAAAAAAGGAAAAAAAAAAATCACCAGAAAGGAAAAAACCCACCTCATTTTTGTGGTTTGGGAGCTGATTTCTCCAGCGTTATCTGGTCAGGTCTGCTGGCGCTGCTGGAAACTCTTTGCCTCCAGGCATGAGCTTAACCAGGTGAGCTGTCACCTAAGGAATTCTGCCCCTGTCAGGGTTTTCCTCCTCCATCCTCCCGTTCCCTCCTGCAGGCACAGAGGCCCTGGAAGGAATTCAGGCTGCCTCGCGCCCTGACATGTCCCGTGCAGAGCTGGAGCTCTGCTGTGCACATCCAGGGCTGGAACAGCCTGCATGGACACCCAGAGGAGCCCAGAGCATCTCCCAGGGCTGGGACTGAGCTCCAGGTCTCTTCCCCGCCAGGAGCTGGAGTTTGCCACCCTGCAGATGTGACTTTCCCAGCGTTTGTGGCCCTGCAGAGACTTTGCTCAGCTCCCCAGCTGTCCTGGAGGCACCTTTGCTCCAGGATTCCCCTTCCCTCGGCTCCCCGGGCTGAGGAGGAGGAGGAGGAGTTCCAGCTCTGCTCCTTCCCACTGGGATCAAAGGGAAGGGCTGGCCGGGAAGGGACATTTCCCCTCCTGGCTGGCTGGGAAGGGCTCTTTGACGTCCCCATGGCACCTCCTGTCCCTCCCTGGCCGTGCCCGTGAGCACCCAGCGTGTCCCACGAGCTGCATGTCCCCAGAGCCTCGCAGGCTGAGCCAGACCAAAGTGAAAATCCCTCTTTTATTTTTGTTTTCCCTGCCCTTGACATTTCCCTGCGGTTCAGTGTTTATAACAAAGCCTTGCCTTGCCCTGCTGGAAGCCGCAGTGTTTGTAAACAGGGGAATGGTGGAGAGGAGGCAGCCAGGGAGCAAACCCGGGGAAATGTGGGGATTGCTCCGAGTGCCTGCTGGAAACCCCAGGAAAGGGAATTTCAGTGGGAATTGGGGTGGCTGTGAAAGCAGCTTGGACTGGAAGTGTCTCCTAGGCTGGCTGCTCCCAGGAATCCAGAGAGATGTTTGATTGGGATGATTTTATTGAGATGATTTATTAAGATGATTAAAATTGAGGTTTTCCTGCTGTCAGGACCTGGTTTTGTTGGGTGGAGGCAGGGCAGGGTCACCTGGGGGACAGGGGTGACCCTTGAGGGGCAGGTGCTGCTCCCTGGGGCTCTGCTGGGCCCTTGCAAAGCCACATTGACAGGGCAAAAAAATCCAAAATAAAATAAATAAATAAATAAATATTTCATTAAATATACATTTTATTAAATATATTTGATTAAATTTAGAATATAAATATTTATAAATTTATTCCTTAAATATACAAATTTAATAATTCCAAAATAAATATATAAATAAAGCCTATAGAAATAGAAAACTATATTAATATATAAAGTTAAATAAATTAAATAGAATAACTTCCAAAATTAATTATATAAATAAAATTAAATATATAAATATCTATTTATTAACTTTATAAATATAATAAGTTTAAAAATAAATATAGAAATAAAACCAATATGAATATAAAACTATATAAATATATATAAATAATAAAACTAAGATTATAAATGTGTAGTTTAAATAGAAGTATATAATACTACATAGTAGAAAACTGAAAGTTTCAAGTTTTAAAATATAGTAATATATATAAAAAGATAAAAATTTTAAGACAGAAACTAGCCTTTCTTAACCCCTTCCTTAAAGGGGCAGAAGAAACTGCCCCTTTCTTCACCTTCTTCTTCATAGGTTCAATTAATATTATGTAATTAAATAACAAATCCACATTCCAAAACACTATTAAGTCAAAGATAAAAATAATTTAAACATCATTTCTTCATTAACCAATTTATCCTTAAAAAACCTTATAAAAAGAAATACATCACCATCTTTTTGTGTTGTTAAAAGAGAATACTGTAAAACTCACAACTTATAAGGCTGTAACATAAATTAAAGCTAATAAACGTCTAAGTCCAAACAAAAAATGCCATCTCACAATGTCAGCCTGGCTGTGCTGAGGGACAGGGACCAGGCTGGGCTGGCAGGAGAAGGAAATTCCCACCCTGAGGAAGCCCCACCGTGGATTTGGGAGTTTCCCAGGCACGAGGGTCTGGGCTGGGGTGCAGGGAGGGCTGGGATGCTGCAGCTGCGCTCAGGGAAGGATGAAGGGACGAGGGACCTGGGGTCACCTCCCTGGCTGCAGAGATGTGCCCTGGGTGCTGGACAGGCTGGGAAGGGAATATCAGTGATATCCACGCCATGGGCAGGGCTGTGCTTCAGCTTCCAGCTGGGGTGAGAGGCCAGGGCTGCTCCCTCGGGCTGAGGGTGCCTGAAAGCTCCTGCCAGGGATTTGGGAAGGGTTTGGCAGCTTCTGCTTGGCGTGGCAGCCCCTCTGCTGAGAGGAGCAGAGGCCCAGGGGGTGGGATGGCCATGCATGGCTCCATCCTGGATATCCCACATCCATGGGCAGGCTGTTCTTGGGGTGGGCTGACTGCAATGCTCCCATGGGCCAGGTGGGCAGGTGCTGTCTAGAACTGGAGAATATTCTGTTTTTTCTCTCCAAAAAAGGATTAAATGGCTGGTTTTGGAGCTGGATTGAGTGGATGAGGTCCCTCCAAGCCTGAGTGGCTCTGGAGTTTTCTGCACTCCACCTAAGAGCAGAAACCCCTTTCCTGAAGGCCCTTGGAGCTCAGAAGGTTCACTATGGAGATGCTTGGCTCAATCTCCTCACTCAGCTGCAGGAAGCCACCCCCTCCCATTTTTTTCCATTTTTCCTCCTTTCCTGCACTCCTGGCTGCATCCAAAGTGGTACCAAGCGTGCCCTGGGATGATTTATGGCCCTGAGGAGCCGTGGAGGTGCTGGGGAAGTGGCGAGGCTCCGCTCGCTGTGTCTCTAATGGCTCGAATCAAATCCAAATCAGCCTTAATGGCTTTAATATTCCTCCCATTGCCTCTGCCAGGATAATTACAATCAATAGGAGGGATTGGCTGGGGAGAATATCTGCAAATTCTGCAGTCAATTAGAGAAATACTGCCAGGAGGGGAGGTGGCTCGGGCAGACCCAGCCGTGACAGGCTGGGCAGGGAGGGAGGGATGGAATTGCCCAAGGAATTGTGCTGCCCACAGGGCTTGGTGCAGGCAGTGCTGCTAAAAGCTCATCCCTGCAGCTTCCAGGACTTCTGTAGGAGCTTTCAGGATGGGGAAGGATGTGTTGGATTTTATATTTTCATTCCTGGAACATTCCTGCCTGTGCTGAGATCCATGGTGGTTATCCTGTGGTGGGGAATCCAAGGAATCCCACATCTGTCCAGACACTTGGACTCCTGCATCTCCAGTGCTTCAGGAAGTCACATTTGTGTCCTTCCGTGGGCTGCCCGTCCTCCAGGCTGTGCTGAGCCTCTGCAGGTGGCCATGGTGCTCCTGCTTCAGTGCCCAGCTGCCCACGGAGCGACCCTGAAGGCAGCAGAGAGCACCCAGAGCCCTGAGCTCGCCCTGGGGAGGGTGGAAAAGCCTCAGCTCTGTGTCTGAAAGCAGCTGGGAACCTCCTGGAAGTGTTCAAAACCTGTGGAAGTGGCACTTGAGGACATAGTTTAACAGTGAAGACGATGGTGGTGGATTCATTTTGGATTTGATGGTCTCAGAGGGCTTTTCCAATCTTAATGATTCCATGGAAAGACTTCGGGGTTAACCCAGGATATTCCAGAAGCTGCAGGATGGGATTTAGCATGGACCATGTGAATACCTCCTTCTTGCCTGTGTCCCTCTGAAAATGTGAAACTAAATCAAAGCATGGACTAAAATCTTGAAATAATTTCATAATTGGCCATGGGCAGAAATCTGATTTTCATGGATCAGGGCAGCCAGAATGGAAGGAGAAATGTATGGACCAGCTTGGCACGAGGGAGGAGAGAAATGGAACCTACAGGGGCTTGTTCAAGCCACGTGGAAGGATTGGTGGAGCAGGATTTTCGGGAATGGGGCTGGGATCCAGCCCAGGCCTTTGGTGTAAAGCCCTGATCCACCTTGGAGCGCTGGCCCAGACACTCAGGGAGCAAATGCTGGCCTGGAGGTTGGCAGTGGGGTGGTTGTCACTTCAAATGAGCCTTCACTGCTTGACTGAAGTGTGAGTTTTCCCTCCCCAGGGATGTGATGCTGTCTGGGATGGGAGCAGGGATTAATGCCTGGAAGGAATTTCTCCAGCCAGGAGCTGTCAGTGTGGGAATTTCTGCCTGCAGGAAATTGCATTTCTGTCATTGCTCAGCCAGACCTTCCCTGTCCTCCTGGCAGCTCCTGTCCCTGCTGGATCCGACACCAAACTCCTCCCCAGGCACCTGGAAAAGGGAACTCCATCATCAGGGAGCTTCTCCAGGGTAATTAATTTGCTGTGAGGCTTTGACATGGAAAACAAACCCTCTGAGTGTGGACAGAGCTGTAATTGTGAGTTGTTCCAGTGCCCTGGGGTGGGATGAGCTGCAGGAATGCTCCATCCCTGCTGCTGGTGGCTCAGGAGAGCCCTGGACTTTGGCACTTGGCACCCAGCTCAAAGGTTGGCTGCGAGAGCCCAAGGGAGCAGTGCCATTCCCTGGGAAAATATCCTGAGGTCTTTTCCAGGTGGGAATTCCATAGATTGGAGGGATGAGCCTTTGCTGCTTCCCAAACCGGGCCAGGCAAAACTCCCAGGATTAAAAATCCTGAGGAAAAACTCGATTCCCATCAGTGCTGCTGAGCCTTTCCTCAAAGGAGGAGCCAAGCACAGGAGGGAACAGCCTGTGGATCCTGCCTGGATGGATGATTCTCCTTTGTCCCGGTGCTGCCATAATGTGAATTCCTCCAGGTGATGCAGCCCAGTCGGTTGGTGAGTGAGTGTTTCCTGTGGGATGTGGAAAAGCTGGAAAAGTTGGATTTTTCTGGCACTAGTTGTGGTGCAGGCAGCAGTAAATCTCCCTTTAACGTGATGCTAAGGGATCATTGTTGTGGCTACTGGCTCTGTAAAACCAGTAAATTTATTGTAAATGAGTATTTTTGGTGTTTGGGAATCACAAGTAGGGAATCCAAAAGATTTCCAAGGAGAGGAGTGAGCATTTAAGCCAAGCAAAATTTGGAATATCTCAGAACAGTGGTTTTTTAAAAAGAAGTAGAGAGATTCTGGAGCCTGGCACCCCTCCCCTAATCCTTCCAATTCCCACTTGAACCCAAGTGTCTCAGGTTGGAATAGCAGCAGGCAGCAGGAATTTTGATTTCCCAGGATAATAATTATGTACTTAGGCAAATATTCTTTGCTTATTAAGTGGGATAAATGCGAGGCAGGGGGGTTTGATTCTCACAACTGCCCTGTGCTATGCAAAAGCTGCTATTTTCCCTGTGGATGGAGAGGATGGATGTGGGATGGGGTGTCTGGAACACCTGGAATTGGGG